TAGAAGAAAGATGTAGCAAATCTGACTTGGTAATAAAGAACCACGTTCTTCCTTTTCTTTCCTTGCTCGGCCTCCTTGCCCTAGCCGAATGGGTTTCTTTCTTTTCTTTTCCGTTTCTTTTTTTTTTTTTTTGACTGAAAGAACAACTCAACAACTTGGCCAAATGAATAAAATTCCAGCAACTTGGTCAGCCCTCTAATGTGCTTCTCCAATTCTCCCAAGAACCCCACACAAATTTCAAGAAGTTCAAGACTAATTCCAAAAACTCAAGAACCCTAGGCTCTTGTAGGTTTTCTTCAAGATCTTCCAAACCCAACTATATTAGCCAAAATCAAATTAGGAAATTAACTAAACCACTTGGATGACACCAACAAAGCTTGGACAGATTTAGAAGCAAGAACTCTTGCGCACAAACGAAACCTAGTGCGATAGAAACCCTAGCCGCGACCCTTAGTACTTTCTTTTGTTCTTTGATGACCACGTTCGATTGGGGTGACTACTATGCACGACTTGGACAGAATTGTGATGCCACAAGAGACAGAAGATACGGTCAGATTTGACACAACAAGCAATACGAATATGCCCAGAATTTTGATGCAACAAACAAGTGTAACGGTAGAATTTTTTTCTTCCTCTTGGTAAGCGATGCAAAGCTGGACAGGTTCGGGTATGACTCAATGCAAGCAACAACAACAACTGGATACGACAATGGAAGAAGCAACTAACGGACAGAAATTTGAAGACTTGCGACAATTAACAATGCGGACAGAATTTTGCTACACGAAGTAACAAACTCGGACAGCTTTCTACCAAACGACTCACACGACAACGAAAGAAAAGTGCGGACAGATTTGGTTTTTTTTTTTTTTTTTTCTAATGAAAAACGGCGCAACAAGGATACAACTATATGAACAGAATATTTTTTTTTTTTTTTGGTAAAACAAGGCAGTGGAAACAAGGAAAACTAAGACAAAACTACGGATATAACGGAAGATACCTCCACCAAAGCTCTGAAGCCAATTGATACGTTCCTCGATCAACTCGTTCGAGACACGTAGCACGTTGCCCAAGGATTTAGCGAGGTTGTCTAACGCTTGGGTTGCGGAATCTAGAATCAAACGGACGGCACGATTTGATTAAAGGCGGTAGAACGACGACTCCAACGAAGGTGACTACTCCAGTGGATAGGTCGGTTGAACAATCCAGGACAAGACGCAAGATTGCTCAAGAACCCTTGCCAAAGCAAGTTAAAGGCTCGAATTCCCTCTTAAGAAGAAAATCGAAAATACTAAGAATTTTATTCATAAAACTTGTGTTTGAAACCTTACAAAGCAAGCCTATTTATAGGCTAAGGTTTACCAAAAACCCTGTGAGAAATAAGGAGAGGGGTTCGACCATCTTGGTGGACAAGATGGGGCGGCCCGATGACCTACTAAGACAAATTAATCCAATCTAACAAGTACTAAGGACTAAGGCCCTACTCGGCCGACTCTCTTGGAGGCCCATTTGATTCTTCTTGGTTTGGATCAAGGTGTAGATAGTTGGATTGTCTCTTTCCAAGCCTTCAATATCTCTATGGGCTCCATGTTGGTCTTGGACAACGCGAACAAGAGTTTGGAGGGATTCTTTGAATAGTTTGGCCGTGCACGTGTGACTAGGCCCAATGAAACTCGGACTAGGTCATTACGTGGACTGAGATCCGTGCACACATTACTTCTATTACATCCATCCACTTTATTAATTTAAGATCAGTTTTTAGTATATTACTAACTACACGCCTTTTTGGTATTTGTCTGTAGTTTTTGTGAAGACGTGTTCTTTTAATTTTCGTTAACTAATGTCTATCAATATATAAGGTTAAAGGTGTTGACTATTGTGCTTTCTGTGGTCCATTAATTTTGTATTTGACATTTGTGTGTGGATTCTTGACTAGTTTATTTGTCCCAAATGATTTGAAATCTGACATCTGGGGACTAACCAGTCATAATATTGAAAATGGACACGTTGTCGCAGTTCTGTGGATTCTTTCAAATTGATTGATTTTCTTTTGGTCTAAATTTGAGAGCGCTTTTGAGTTTTTCTCATTAAGATACTTATAATTTTTGTCATCTTCTTTATGTCTGTCGGGTTATAGTCATTTTGTTTCACAATTCCAGAATTGATAGTGGTTCCAGAAATGCAAAGCTATTTGCTTTTCATGTGAAAACTTGTGGTTGGGTTTGATTAGTGATTAAATTGGGATGCTCTTAGATACAACTCTTCTATCAGAAATTTTTTAAAAATATTGTTATGCAATGTCTTAGGACAGTTTTGGTCTGTCATGTAGAAGAAGAAGTTATTGTTAAAAAGTTTACTGATTTTAGGTAGTAAGTATGGAATAGAATAGATGCAGAATCATAGATAGTTTATGGGTTGATTTATGAGGTTTGAAGAAGATTGACTGATTTAAGTTCCCTTAGATGGTTCCGTTACTATATCATTAATTGAAGGCATCTGCTTTCTGTTTTAGGTAATCCGATATTTTTAAGAGGACCGGCTAATTGATATTTTTCTTTCTGAGCATGAGCAATGTTATTGTTTGGCTTTTGAGATTTTAGTAAATGGGTTTTGAATTATCATGTTGCAGAATCACAATTTAGGATTAATAAGCTTAGAGGAGGATTGATTCATGTTTAAATTCTTCTTTGTATTTTTATACTGTGTCGTTTAGAATTAAAGATCATTTTGTTTTATTAGTTAAGTTTAAAATAAGCTACATCCAGCAAAGTTGCCCAAAGACAAGAAGCTCTTGGGATTTGTTATTCCCTGTTGGCACTACTTTTTGTTGTTTTAGTTGTGAGATTGAAGTTGATAGATACATCTTGCCTGAATCTTTGTGATGCAGAATCATATCTTGTTCGATGTATATAATTGGAAACATAAAGGAAAAAGATCCATTCCTTGTGTTTTCTTTGACATTGGTTCATTTTTTTGTTCACAATTAAACATGATCATGTATTCTTCGTTTCAAACATACCCTTGTACAAAAATTAGTTATCTAAAACTAATTGTATTTGGTTTGTGGCATCAGGATACATTGCAACCACAAGTCTTGTTGATTAAGTCTTTCTCCATACACAGTACCAGCTAGTGTGAATGTTAAAGAGCAAAGTGGCCTTTTTAGTTTAGCCTGTATTTGCTTCTTGAATCCAATATTTGTGCTGTAGCACAACATGGATCTCATTTCTACTTCTCCTTGATATCAAGCCATTTCATTGGTAGCATCCAAATACTCTCCTATCACAAGTATCGTTGATTAAATTTTCTCCACATCTTATACAGCTAGTGTGAATCTGAGAGGCTGCTGCTTGTGTAATTAGATGCTTATTCAAGGGAACTAAGCAGCTTTTTGGTTTAGGCTGCTGTTGATATCTTTCTGTAGGAGAACATGGATTGCCTATCTGTTTTCTCTTTGATAATGAGCCACTATGAGGACCCTTAGCTCAGATTCCTTGGAAAGTCCTTTTTGTTCTGTCACCACATAATCACTAAGTTACTAGAGAAACGTGATATGGAACTTTCTGCACTGAAACTATCAGATTTACTTGTTAATTTTCAATGATAGGTTCGAGACTAAGGCCATATGTAGGATGCAGTTGTCGGTAGTTACTCCTCAACTAGTAAACTTTATCTGTTGCTGCAACTGCAAGTTTATTCTTGTTCTGATCTTTCAGCGATGGTTTAGTCTATAATATCAGTTAAAAGAAGTGGTGTAGGTATAGATGGATATATAATTCACAATTCAGGTAATACATGCTAGAAGCATACCAGACATGAGTGGTTCAAATTGACCTTTTTTCTGTTATAGGATATTAAGATTGTAAATTGTAACTAGCTGCAGATTAATAACTTTTTTATGCAAATCATTGTCCAGTCAGGAGTAACATTTTATAGCTTAGAGAAAGAAGAAATAAGCTTGGAATTTTTAGTTTCTATTATTTCTAAATTTTTCTCTTATGAATTATAGTTTACTTTCCTTGTTCCGGTGAGCATTCACTGGTTTCATGCGTGATTTGTTTTTTAACTTGAGGGTCCTCCTTCAGTCAGCTTTGATGAATGATATCTTCTTTTTCACGATAAATTATGTGTTATTTTTCCTTAAAATGTCTACAACTTTTGATGTGCGTGCCGCTTTGCAACAAGTTCATTTCTCAAGATTCTCTATTACCTCTACTTAATAAAGCATAATTTATTCATGTAAGTGTTCTTGTAATTGTCATGCTTTTCAATTATGCGTTTTAATTCAATGACCCCTGATACTCGTTTGTTAGTAGGGAATTTCCCGTGCTAATTGAAATTTAACTTTGTGAGCTCAATTTTGGAGGCATATTTTAGTTGGTGTCCCTTGAAGCTTGCTCTAGATTGTTAATTTTTTTTAGTTGGTATTTTCTGGGATCTGTTATTTTATTTCAAATTTCAGAATGTGAATCTGCCTATATGATTTGAATGGTATCATGAATTTGGAAAATGAAAAATCTCTGAAAGTATAGGATATGAATGTATGTGAAAGAAGATTTTAGTCCTAGGTTATAGATCAATATTTAGAGCATCCTACAACCTTAGAATATAGGATATACAGAGTCTTTCCAAGTTTCTTTTGGAATCCCTTGGTTTCTTACTTTTTGTGAGGTGCTATTGTTCTAAATTGGTGATTTTCAGTCACCATTCTTGAAGTAGTACTACACTAGTCGATGATAGATTAGTACGTGGATATTTCAGGTTCTCTGCTTCTTGTGGTCCTAATCTATGGGTGATTTAATTTTAGGGCACCATTTAAGGAAGCATATTGGATCTCATAAATTTTTTGGTTTCCTTTTTATTTTTCAAGAAAGTAGGTACAGACGTGTCTATGTTATGTTTTGCATTGTGCGTGTGATTAATGCAAAACAGTTGTACTATGTTGTCAACTTCAAATATTAGTCCTAGCACAATATATAGCTGATGATTTCTTTTTGAAGCAGATGGATGGTCTTCGGATTCCTAACAAAGACTTGGCTGACCTCACACCTCATTTTGTTTGGTCCAAGGCTGAAATGTTGCAGCTGATGAAGCAGATGACGAAGGGTAGAAAAGATAATCTTTTCCTTCGAAAACATTGCCGGCATATGATGTTGGCTCAACCAGCCCAATATGTTATGGAAGCAGGGAATAAGAGGTAGAATCTGTTTTCAATTTGTATATTTGTGACAGTTATACGCGTGTTTCTAAAAGTTATTTTTTTTAGGCTCTCTGTTTAATAGGATAAAGAGGTATCTGACCATTCGGATGTAGATAGGAAGTTCAGATGCACAAAAACTCTCATCTATTCGGAGAAAGATTATGGGGAGGAGGTTCGGGAGAATCAACAAGGACTTCTACAGCCACCAAACATCCTACAAAGAGGCACTGCGTAGGAAAAAGGAAAGGAATATTTTTGTTGTGAAGCCACACGAGGTCTCGTACAACAGGCAATTTGCTCTACTGTCGGGCTTTAACAACATTGCTACTGGACAGATATACAAAATAGAAGTTTGGTCTCATGAGCATATGTGGTTCTTGAGCAGATTCAAGAAATCAGGATTAGTGAATGCAAAAGTATATATAATTCCTGATCCGACTGAGAGGCATTATATCACTTATTTTGATCCTGAATCATTGGCTCGAAAGATACACGACATGGGGTTCTTGGTTGTATCCGATGACTGGCACTTGTATGGCCTTGATACTCGTCTGCTATATGAGGATCTCCATGCATTTGGGGAACCATTGTCCCACTCCGTTTACTTCAATGGCACTCCAAAATATAAAAAATGGTAAAGAATCACCCCTCCTCTCTCTCATCTCAGTTGGCACAAGGAGTGGATAGAGTATGCTGACCTGAAAAAACAGGCTTACAATTTTTGTAGATATTTTGAGATACAGGCCTACAAATTTTGTAGATTTTTCCATCTTGAAAAAACAGGCTAGTTTCTGGCGAAGTTCTTACTGCTTAGCCTACTGCACTGTCCAGAAGCCAAGAAGAGTTTACATTAAGGAAGATGAAAACGTTAACAATGTTTCATCGGAACACGTGAACATGTATTTTACTGTATAGGCATTCAAGTTAAACATTCAGTTCTGTCAAATTTTTCAGGTTATTGAGTTCCATTGGCAACTGAGGTGTGAGATTGTTTACACTAAGTAGGCTGCAATAATCAGGGAAAAGCTTACGAAGCGCAAGTATGAAGTATTGAAGATAGATTCAGTGCTAGTTACTACAGTTATCAAGTAATAGATCTCCCTAACTGATTCTATACATGTTGGCCAGAAATAGGATTCAAAATTGGATAACATAAGACTTCACAAAGAGGAAAAAATTATATGGTTTGAAATGCAATTTTTGCTAAATAATCGATATGTGCAGAAGTTTGAGAAAATTCTTAAATTGTGATGAAAAAAAAAAGTTATTCTACAAAGGGGTAATTTGTGGAGTTGGTTCCTGACTTGTGATTTTCGCATTTGTGAAATGCGAGTTCAGGTACCTCGCATTTGTGAAATGCGAGGTAAGTCTTTTCACGAAAAAAAAAAGAAGATCGCATTCTCCAAATGCGAGCTTACTCAGCTCGCATTAGGAGAATGCGAGATTAGGGACCTCGCATTTCATAAATGCGAGGTACTCAATTTGAAATCAATCAGACTTCCCAATTTCGCATTTCTCTTCCGTCGTGGCTACCTGTACTCTTTCCATGCAGCCTTTCACTCTCAAAATTATCTTGGTCTGAGCTTTGTCATCGGAAAGCAGAGCCACAGCTTTGTCGTCGGAATCTGTCGGCCTTCTCCTCGGAAGCTCTGCAATGTTGTAGAGTTACGGCGTTTCTCCTCAGGCGAAACCAGAAAGGCGGCATTTCTTCCCGTCCGAAGCTGTCATCGGAAGCTCTCTGCCATTGCAGAGCTTCCCCTTTGGGAACCCATCTCTGGTAGCTAGCTCCATTTAAGTCCGGCATCCGTCTTTCTCCATTTGCCATTCCTTTCACCAGAAACAGCATAAGAGGTAAGATTTTTTTTTTCTGAGTTTTAATTTTTTTCTGGGATTTTTTGTTTTTACGAATTGAAGTGGCTTTTATGATTTGGTAATTTATTGGACATTGTTGTTGTTTCGGTTGGCAATTTATTTGTGACATTGTACATTGCTTGTTATCGGAGCTAAGTTTCTTCTTGTGGTTGATTACAAGAATGGGCTGTCCTAAGTTTCGGTTGGTGTAATGATAAATGTAGACAATAAAGAAGATAGCATGTCAGATACCTTAAAGATGAATCATGCTATGAAAATTCATAAAGGACAGGAATCTTTTTACGTGCACACAATGCGCAGGAGTGCTTGAATATCCTCATATAATAAATTTTTTTTGATCTAGCAATTAAAGATCTAGCAAGTAAATCTGATATAACTTTTAAGATCATGCTATCCTTTGAATTTTTTCCCCTGTTGCTGTCTGTACTTTGAAAAATAAATGGAGTAAGAATTTGTTTATGCACTTACAAAAAATTAAAATAAAAACAATTTATTTACACACTTTCGAATTTATCCATTAATTCTTTGTCTATCCTTTTCATTTTTCATTTTTGCAATTGAAGCATGTTAATTACTTAATCTTCTTATGCCAAGTTGTTATTAAGTTATCCTTAATGGTGTAACAATGTTTTGGACAAATCAAATGTTGGAAAAAAAAAATCTAAGTCCATAATGACAACAACTACTCAAACAATTATACTTGAATTTAAGCACTCTTATCCTTCCAAATTTTTAAACCCTGTATACGAAGTTTATATTAAGCACCATTTACTAAAGCTAACATTTATGGAGAAAATTCTTAAAGTGTGATGAAAAAAAAAAGTTATTCTACAAAGGGGGTAATTTTTGAGACTTGTGATCTTCGCATTTGTGAAATGCGAGTTCTGATACTTCGCATTTCACAAATGCGAGGTCAGTCTTTTACGAAAAAAAAAAAACAATGCGGTTGCATCCACATACTTTTTCTTTTATTTTGATTAATTTTGCTGGAGGTTAGCAGTTAGCTATTGCTTTCATGTGGAGGCAACATGGGATTAACGTGGATCAATATTGTATTGCAGAAACATGAAAGAGAAAAAAAGGAAAAACAGCAATCAATATTGCATTCCAGAAACATGAAAGAGAAAAAAAAAGGAAAAGCAGCAATCTAAGAACCATAGCTAGTTAATGCCAAGTTCTAAGTAGCTAGCTAGCCTACCAAAAAAATAAAATCTTTAAGAAGCCATGCCGAAGCTGCAAAGAAACTTTGTCCTGGCTTTCTTAGTATTTAGTCTAAAACACCCTGCCTCAAAGATATTAGTTGTCGCATGTGGTGATTACAGTATTGCTTAATTGGTTTATAGGTTTGGACTTAGTTAAAGTTTTCCTTAAGCATATGGTCTGATAGGCTTCATGAAGTTGCCCAGTTTTTTTTACAGAAATGGAGCAGAGGATCTGCCTAGTTGGTGGGCTATCATGCTATTACAATGTCTACACATTTGACTGCTATGTGTTTTATCATAGTCTACGGTATCTGAGTAGCTTCTAGTATAATTTCTACTTTTACTGCTACTAGGGGCATCTGTACTTGGAAGTACTGGCACCCTCATGCTATCCATGCTAGCTTTAGGATCCATCACACTTTCCTGCAAACTCTGGAGAAAATTCTTAAATTGTGATGAAAAAAAAAAATTATTCTACAAAGGGGGTGATTTGTGAAGTTGGTTCCATAAATGTGATTTTCGCATTTGTGAAATGCGAGTTCAGGTTTTGTGCTCATACATTTTGCTTTTACTCAGGAAAAGTAATTAAAAATATGGCTTGGTAGCAGCAAAACTTTTTTTGTTTATTTTCTTTTTAATGGACTGACTATAACCATTACTTGCTAATTGTCGATATGAAAATGATGCTATATATATCAGATTCAAGCCATAGTTAAATTGTTGGGCATCAAAAATGAAAGAAATGGTAAAGAGCATAAACTGTAAGACTCGCATATGAGAAATGCGAACCTAGCACAGATCGCATTTATAGAATGCGAACACCTCCCTTGTCGGAATAGGACACCAAAGTAACCCCCTTCGTGGACCTTTTTTATTTTCTATAAGTATGTTTTCTATACCTATGTTATTTAGTTTACCAACGCATATTTTCTTTGAAATTGGGGGAATAGATCCAAAAAGGTATATCGGAACAAGCAAGATCTACGGGAACGAGGTGGTTCATCTGAACAAATCCCTCATTGCACCCCAGATCCTCTGCTCCAGTACCTTATCTTGGTTTTCTGTGATCTCCATCATATTCATGTAGGTGCATACAAAGTTTTCGACACAAGCCAGGAGACTTGAAGAGGCTTTGATTGGTACCACTAGGAAGTTGTACGCACAAGTGCATCTTCAGAATCTGAGGCAAATCATTGGGTAAGTCATGTAGTTTACAAGTAGATTTAATTGTAGTCATATTAATGTTCTAATTTTTTGAACTTTGCTTGGATTCGTTTTATGGTGAATTCATGAATGTAAAGTGAGACCCTCTACTGTAGTATATTTTTTAATTGCATGTTATGTTGGTTGACAGGGGAGTATAAGAAATTATTGTTGTTTCACACTCTACTCTATATACATTATATTATTATTGTAGGTTTGTCAAATATCACAGTTCCTTGTCTTCTATAAGAAATTATTGTATATGAAATTATTCTACCGTATTTGCAGTGGTGTAAATTATCTCATATTTCTCAATTGTTTGAAAATCGATGTGCCTATGTTGGTTGGCAGGGAGTTTTAGCCAGTTACAGGGGAAACTCTGTCAAAATTTTTTTAAAATATTTTTGGGTGTTTTTGATTAGTTATTGCCTTAAGAGTATAATAAGACAAATTGGCGACAATATGGACTCAAAAGGGGGGTGCTTGGAAACGTTAAATAAAACAAGATATCTGCCTACATTTAATAAACTTATACTCCATTTAATTAGGAATTCTTGACTAACATTTTGGCATGATGCGTAATAATGTATAGGCGGTTAGAGGGAATATTAACTTAGGTATAGAACTAAAAATATGTATACAAGACAAGCATGTATCACATTTGCTTGTACTACTAAAATATGAGAAAATTCTTAAATTGTGATGAAAAAAAAAGATATTCTACAAAGGGGCTAATTTCATGCCAACTTGTTATTAATGACAAGAACTACTCAAACAATTATACTTGAATTTACGCACCCTTATCCTTACAAATTTTTAAACCCTGTGTACGAACTTTATATTACACACCCTTACTAAAGCTAACATTTATGAAGGTAAAGGCAAGGTTTGAAGTGAAAATGCTTAATATTCCCGCTCCACTACTTTTGTCTTTTATACCAATCCTATATTTAGTATCGCTATTTGGAACCTATACCTTTTGCTAAAAACAGTGGGAAAATATAAACTATTTATGATTTGACAATTCTAGTTATTATTAATTCCCTAAACACCCCTTTTCTCGATTTTTAGTCTTCTTACGTTAACCTCTGTTTAAATTATCCTTATCATTCTAACCATTATATATGCAAAAAATAAGAGGATAATAAAACTATACCTACATAGTTGAATGTGATGCAAAGTTTAGATTTGGTGTGAAATTTGGATGAAAAAATGATGTGGGTTGTGCTATTTTGTTGCATTTTTCCTGGGTAATTCAGTGGTAAATTTGGACCACATAAAAAAGTAGGGATTGTTATTTGTTATATATTCTTGTACCACATGAGCTAACTTATTTTATTTCAAAATAGGGATTCTTTTCACACGTATGTCTATAGAAAGACCTGTGCGAGTGTCTCTTTATTGGGGAGGTAGAATACACTACGAGGATGGGTCAATTTGTTACTTGCCTCGTACGTGCAACTGTACATTCTCATTACGATCCAAAATTGGATATGATGAGTTGGTGGATAGAATTTATCAATATATGGGGGTCGATAGGGGGTTGTTCAAGTTGAATATATTTCTCCGCCAACCTTGTGGCCGGAGCTCTTATAATGTCTCCCCAGTGGTGGATGATGAAACTCTGGAGATAATGTATGATGTATGGAACGAAATTGTTCCATACATCGCAGAACTTTATATCGAGAAGGAGGAAAT